TCTGGCAACTGGGCTCTTGTCATATACGAGGCCCTAGGAGCTGCAGGTTCCTGGTTTGGGCAAGGCCAGACCTAGGCCTGGTGGTTGCCGCCATTCTGGGAGTGAATTAGCAAATGGAAGACATCAGTCTTTCTGTAACTCTGCTTTTTAATTTTTAATTGGAAAGGCAGATTTACAGAAAGAATGACATACAGAAAGATCTTCCACCCACTGGTTCACTCCCCAAGTGACCGCGATGGCTGGAGCTGAGCCAATCTGATGTCAGGAGCCAGGAGCCTCTTCCAGGTCTCCCACGTGGGTGCAGGGTCCCAAGGCTTTGGGCCATCCTCGTTCTCTCAGGACAAGCAGGGAACAGGATGGGACATGGAAATGGGACATGAACCGGTGCCTATGTGGGATCCTGATGCATACAAGACAAAGACTTCAGCCACTAGGCTACCATGCTGGGCCCATAAATAAATCTTTAAAACAAACATAGTGACAGCAGACTGCTTAGTGCTTGCTCCTCAGTGCCACCAAATGGGCCGATGTGGCCTCAGCCCTGGAGCCCAGTCCAGCTGTGCGTGCCTGCAGAGGATGGCAGAACGCATGGCAGTGTCTCACCTTCAGGAGTCCCTGCTGCTGTTTCATCTTCGGCATCACTTAGGACGTACTGACAACAGATGCCCGGCCTTAGGGGCTGCGTCCAGCCCGGGCTTGCAAAGGGAAGCATGCAAAGGGAGGCCGGCTGGGTGGCTCGGCAGCTTGCCGCGCTGTGCCGTGCGTTACTGTGCAGAGCTGCCACCCCTTTATTCCAGGCAGGCGATGGGGAAGAACAGGATGCAAAAGGCATTTCCTTCCAGTTCCGCCTGATGGTGAGCGTGGGTCCCACGGGCCGCATGTTGCCGCAGGCGAGAGGTGGGTGACAGTCATCCCCCTCATGTCCAAGGCCGGCACAGAGCGGAGCGTGGACAGCGGGTGAGCGACAGCAGCCCCTGGAGGACAGTGGGACTTCCCCACTCCATAGGGAGCAACTCTGAGCAATGATCCCGGGACGTCAGCAGCAGTGTGGGCACCCACACCTCGCTCACGGCTCGCTCTGACAAGAGACCCCAAGCACAGGAACTCACCGATGACTGTGGACGAGCCCAGGGGACCTCTCCCTAGGGAGCCAGACTGGCGGGGGAGGCGCTGCCGAGCCCAGCGAGGAGGAGCACCACAGGCCGATGGGGTGGACATCTGTGGGGTGGTGCTCCTTGTCACTGCCCGGGTCGGCACAAGGTAGACAGCTTGGCCTTGGCTCAGCCGGGAGAACAGATGGGCAGGAATTCAGCCAAGCAGCAGACTGCCTGCCCTCCCTCCCCATGTTGGCCTGGGCCACAGTCCCCACCTGGTCCCAGCCAGCTGCAGAGCCCACAGGCCTGACATCCCGGCCAGGAACATGCCATCTCTCGCCTCACTGTGAGGGGCGAGATGACAGGCAAGTCGAGGGGCTTCTCCCAGCAGCAAGGGCACACCGGCCTTGCGCTGCCCACATGGGTCCCATGACTTTCTCTGTGCCACATGAACAAGCGCTGTGGGAGGACGGGCAGCCCCACTGTTCTGTCTTCTGCAGCCTGTACCTCCCAGGACCCTGGCTGAAGCGCACCTGTATCAAGCCCCCTTCCCATGACAGCAGACAAACAGAGGCCAGGCCGACCTGATGGGCTCAGCTGGCACCACAGGAGCAAGAAATGCAAGTTTAGAAACACACTTTGCCCTGTCAGCTGAATGCAGTGGTGCCCAGATGGGGGGGCAATGGCCAGGCCCCCCCAGTCGTTCACCTCCCAAATACCACCACAATGTGGACGATCCACATATCCACACCACGCCCACTCACTTAGCTCCATATTTAAAAGCTCCATGAAATTTGTTCAGAATTCGACACAGCCTGGCTTCCCCGAGCAGGTGTGCTAGCGGATGACACATCCCGGGGGGGCAGGATGACAGCTCAGGGCTCAAGCTGCTGGCCCTGCCGCCCGCGTGGGACGCCTACATGGGAGCCTCTGGTTCCCGGCTTTGGCCTGGCCCGGCCCTGCCTATGGTGGGCATTTGGAAAGTGAAGCAGATCGCTCAACCTCTTAAAGAAATAGATTTTTTTTTCCTAAACGATAACTCTGGAATAGAAATGAGGGAAACGAGGTGATGAACACACTGCTCTATTCATTGAAGAGAGAGTGGAGGGAAGGGTGAGAGGGGAGCTAGCTGTGAAGACCCTGAGCCCATGGGGCACAGCCGGAAGCAGCATCTTTCCGTGATACTGGAGGTACTGCACTGCCACCTGCAGGCTGTAAGGCCCGCCTCTGGCCCTCCCCCAATCTTCCCCCTGAACCCCCAGACCTCCTCTCTCCCGTACATGGGCAGCCTTGAGCGCTGCCCACATGGCCTTAGGAGGGCAGGGCAGGGCAGGGGCAGCCAGCAGGGTCTGGCATCACCTGCCTCCTCGCGGGCACCATGAGGGCTGAGGGCCTTCGCAAGCGCCCCTAGGAAGGTACTCGCAAACCCGCCAGGCCATCTGTGCTCAGCCTCGGCAAGGCAGCAGAGGGCGCTGTGGCTGCCGGTCCCGGGATCAGCGCAGCCAGGGTAAGACGCACACTATTCACAGCTTCTCCTGCTCAAAACGCCAAATACTACCTCACTGTGATTACTCGGGGTGTGGAGGGAGCTAAGAAGCCTTCCTTTCTGGGTAAATTCTCCTCCCCCGGGATTGGGACCATCCTGTGCGTCCTTCCCACGGTCATTACCCAGGCACTGGCTGGCTGCAAGGAGGCTTGACTAATACCCCAGCTTCCCATGCTACCCAGAGCGCAACAAGCCTTCCTCCCTCCCTTGCTCCGTCTGAGAGGGACCAGATGCTCCACCCTGGAGTTCCGCCCCGCCAAGCCAACCAAGCAGCTCTACCTTGTTCCTGCATGCTGAGCCAGGTACCAAGCAGGACTGTTCTGCCCACTGCCCACAGAAAACCCTCAATATTCTCTGCTCACAAGCTGGCTGGGTCTGGCTCTAAGCCAGCATGACTATCACTAGGGATGCCTAGTAAACCACCTACCTCCGCGGCTACAGCGACTTGAATCCCAGGTCCACAGCGCGAGGGGCTGAGAAGTTGAGACGCGGGAGTACTGTGAATGGTCATATCAAAAGCTACTTGCTGAGCCATGATCCATAGGGAATATAGTTCCTCTGCTTGTTTTCCCAAGACAATAAGCTCATTGCTTTTTCTTTTTTTCAAAATATACAGATTAGACAGTAAATAGCTGCACAAATATGCCAACCACCAAAAGGCATATGTATGGATACAAAAAGTTCTTTGTATCACGGGTACAGCAGGTGTATGTGAAAGACCTTCAGGAAATGTATAGCAATTGAATTAAAAGGTCACGTGAGGGGCCAGTCGTTACAGCTCAGCACGTAAAGCCATTTACTTGGATACTTGCATCCCATCTCCAAATGCTAGGTCAAGTCTGAGATATTCTACTTCCTATCCAGGTCCCTGCTCATGTGAGGGCAAATGATGGTTCAAACATCAGGGTCCCAGCACCATACGGTTTGCACAAGAGTCAGGCCTTGGGGGTATGCTGGGCTGAGCCGGGCACAGCACCTGCCAGTTTAAGTGAAAGTCAGGGCTGGTGGTGGGGGTGGGGTACTGGCCAGCCAATTGCATCCACTGGTACATGCAGTTGGCTGGTGCAGGGGGTGAGCTGAGCCAGACACACGAGAGCCAGATCCTCAGATCTCCAAGGTAAGGTTTCTCAGGAGGCTTCCCAACTGGACCACTGTGCACATTCCCTGACCCCAGGCTAACAAGGACATGGGTGCCCACTGTGGAGCAAACACTACAGGTCTGGGCCACCTCAGTTGCCAACACCTGTGCAACAGAGAACAAAGCCAGATGCACATGAAAGACAACACAGCCAGCTCACTTCAGCCGACACAGAACTTCTGAGTGTCTCTTCAGAGCATGCAAAGAACAGGATGCAAACTACTCCAGGCCAGGCTCTACAGCAAGTATTTAGGTCTGCAGACACACTGAGATAACCACAATGAGATAAACAGCCAATAGGCCTTAGGACTCTTCACCTCTTGCACAGGACAGCTAACTTCTCAGAACAACAGAGATCACTCAAGTAACACCCTCGAACATTCTTCCCCTCACTGGGATCTCCAAGGCGACACCAAACAACCGTTTCCATCCCCAAGAGTAGACACAGACTGACTGACAGGTGTACTGCACTGCCCTCTGCCACCCCCAACCCTTTCAGTGGATTCAGGAGGGAAAATTAAAACATCTATCTCACCCATCTCCCCACACCCACCCTAACCCTCTATCCTAATCAGAGGCCCAAGTGGGTCTGCAACTCCCTCAACCTTTGCAACAAATATTAAAGTCAGGGGGGAGAACCCCAGACTCTACGGAATTGTATCATAAAACTCAAAATTTAAAAAAAAAAAGATGTAATTAATATATGTTTTAACATCAAGCTTTCACAAAATTGTTTCTTGAAAGAGTAGAAATTATTTTATGTAACATTTCGATAATAAAACAAGTTTAAAAAGATCAGTGAACGAATGTACTCAGTTAAATTAGGGTAGAACCTTGAAGGCTTGAAACAAGTTTGGGACAAAGTCAGTCCTCCAACTTCAAAACTCGTGCCCTCCAAATTCAAGATGGGAGACACGCAGAGGCAGGAAGCATCCCGGCTTGTCATAGCCAGTTCGCACGGGCAGTGATGGGCTCCTTTACGGAAAGGTCAAAGAGGTCACCCTGGGAGACCTTACCAAGTATAACAGAGGCAGAGTTATAAGCAATTGTTTACGGCTTAGAAAATGCGTCACAAGCACAAGTTGCTTCAGAGCCCTAGGCTCCGTGAACCCAGAGATTTGAGTTACCACTATCTGGTTTACACTGAACTTTTCAGGGACACATGACCTGAAAAGCAGAGCAGGTGGCACAAAGCTGCCTGGCTCCTGCCCCACCTGGTCTCTTTCCCGTGTAACTTGTCAGACGTGGGGCCACCGTGTGACACAGCATCAGGCGTCAGGATCGCGCTGCGGCTCCTGCCCAGCCCAGTCTCATTTCTCCCCAGTGACAAAGAGGTGCACACTCTTCTTGGACTGCAGCATCTGCGCTGCCCTCTCGGCCCCCACCACGGCGGCCAGCCTCTGCGCGTCGTACTTGGAGTAGAGGACGGTGCAGGTCCACGCGGCCTCTTCTCCTCGGCTCGTGGCTCTCAGCATGTTACAGACCTCACTGTAGAAGTGTGGGTATGTCGGCAGTTCATAGAAAATCAGGTTCCTGATGCCTTTGATTGTATACCTGTTAGAGTGGGAGAGACAGAGGGCTCAGGACACGGGAAATAACCAAAGAAAAGTCAGCTAAGAGCTGTGTAGGGGCCTAGTGCACTCCAGATGATTCTTGCTAAAAGAGAAAAGCAACGGCACAATAACACAGCAAAGCCTGCTCCATTAGAATGAGAAGGGCCAGTGGATTCTGGGGAGATTTCATCGTGCTTGGGATGGCGGGACTGGCAGCAATTCAGAACTGTTGAACTATCAAAACCACTTGAGCAAGGGACCAGCACAATAGCATAGTGGCTAAAGTCCTTCCCTTGAATGCACCGGGATCCCATATGGGTGCAAGTTCTAATCCCGGAAGCTCCACTTCCCATCCAGCTCCCTATCTGTGGCCTGGGAAAGCAGTCAAGGATGGCCCAAAGCCTTGGGACCCTGCACCCGAGTGGGAGACCTGGAAGAAGCTCCTGGCTCCTGATCAGCTCAGCTCCAGCCGTTGCGGTCACTTGGGGAATGAACCATCGAATGGAAGATCTTCCTCTCTGTCTCGCCTCCTCTCTGGATATCTGCCTTTCCAATAAAAATAAAATCTTAAAAAAAAAATTTTTTTTTTGAGCCGTGCCCTCAGAGCATGCCCCATGTCGGGGACCCTGGGATGAGTGGGAGGCTGAGTGGGGCTTCTCCCTTTTCCTCTCCCCTTACCCTAGATGCAGAAAAAAATATATTAATAATGTGGAAACAATGGTGTTACCCACTTTCCTGTTGCCCTTGACCCTTTGTGCCTTAATCAACTATGTAATTATTATCAAAATAAAATAATTAAAATTGTTAAAATAAATAAATAAATATTTTTAAAAAGAAAGAAAAAAGAAATGAAAGAGCTTATTTTTATGACAACATATTTGAATTCCTAATGTTTGGCTTAAAATAATGACAAACTCAATCTGTATTTTCTGAACTTACTCTGGGTAGGGGAGAGAAGGCAGAGTTAAACACCTGCCATGGAAAACTTAGCCAGGCACATACTTTCATAATATCCTTATTATGATCAAACTAAAATAGAGACAAGGTCAGAGCCAAGCCGTACAGTAGCTGCATGAAGTGTCAATACACTGCCATCATTTCTGCCTTGTCACGCTGCAGACATGTTAATTCCTCGGCAGATGTCCCAAGTTCATCCATCCATAAGAGCCTGCCCGAGGACCCATTAGGCATCCTGAGGAAGCAATTAGCTGCCACGGTGTCTGTGCTCCCACCTCCTCACCACGGCAGCTCAGTGCCACACGTCATCGGTGGGGCTGTGGACCCTAGAGACTCAGCACACAGTTCAAGTCCAGGTCAAACACTCTCCCTGAGACTCAGAACCCAAGGCTTTCAAGGCTTTCTAGGCTGCAGACACTGCACACTTTCCCTCAAACTGCTTCACTGCTGCCGTCAGATTGCCTCGGTCCTGTCTTCCTGGTCTCTCCGTCTCCTGCTCCTCCCCACCTCTGGGACTCTTCCTTCTAACAGCAGCTGCTTCACTGTGTGTTTTACCTTCAGCATCACCTTTCCATAAGGCAGGGGCTCCCAGGGCTACCGGCCCTCAACCTGCCGTTTTAATCTCACCAGGCACCAAAGCGAACAACATTTAGCTCCACTTGTGTTTAGGATGCTAAACAGGTTCTCACAGAACTCTGTCCACACAGCAGAGAGAAGCAGCCAGCTCACTGCACAGAAGCATCCCTGTACTTGAGGCCAGAGCGCCGCGGGCCTACGGCGTGCAGGGGGGCTGCTGCAGTGGTGGGTGTGGCAAGCAGTGCTGGACTGGACAGGCGGTGCCAGTGAAGTCCGTGCCTTTCTCTGGTGCTGACACCCACCAGGCTGGACGGCTGCAAGCAAGAGCCAGAGAGCAAGGGGCGCTCTGAGCCAGCAAAAGCCAGCTCCCGTCTGCCAAGGAGGGAACTGAGCAGCGTGACAGGCCCTTCTGGAGAGAAGCAGGACACACAAGCCAGTGCGTCTCTGACAGAGGCTGTGGCTGTCAGAAACGGCAGTGGGAGGAAAATGCCACACTCTGAACATGTTGTTTCTTTTTTTTTTTTTTTTAAAGATTTATTTTTATTGGAAAGTCAGATATACAGGGAGGAAGAGACAGAGAGGCAGATGTTCTGTCCAATGATTCCCCAAGTGACTGCTGCAACGGCTGGTGCAGCGCCAATCTGAAGCTGGGAGCCAGGAGCTCTTTCGGGTCTCCCACACGGGTACGGGGTCCCAAGGCTTTGGGCCACCCTCGACTGCTTTCCCAGGCCACAAGCAGGGAGATGGACAGGAAGCAGGGCCCAGCGCAATGGCCTAGTGGCTAAAGTCCCCTCCTTGAACCCGCCAGGATCCCATATGGGCGCCAGTTGTAAACACGTTCTTAAAGCGCAAATGTCTTAGTGTGGTTTTTGTTGGCCTTAGAAATGCTGACTCAGCTCACAGTACTGGACCATGTGGAGAGGGTTTCTTGCCTCAGTAACATGGCAATGGCAGCACACCACAGACAGCTGGCTTCAAAGCAGAACCACTCATGGTAACACATCCCAGTCATCTCCGAGAGGTCTCACCTTTCCACACTGCTGCACTGGGGACCAAGTTTCCAGCGCATGAACTTGCGGGGGCTCATTCAACCACAGTAGCAGGCAGGATCTTGTGCGACTGCTCTGAATCCCTGGATGTTCCGTGAGTTCCCTTCCACTCACAGACTCTTTTCAGGGCCTCCCAGGGTAGTCCTAGCCAAAGACTGCAGGCAAGGGTGCAGATCCAACCGTGGTAGCAGGCATCAACGCCCACATCCTTCCTAGCCCCTCGTCCACAAATCCACGACAAACGCCTGAAGCAGACAAGCAAGGGGCAACCTGCTCATCTCAAGCAAAGGTACACTGGCCAGGGGAGGGAGGCAGAAGCCACTCTCTGGTACCAAGTGAGGGATGGAAGAGGGACGGGAACTAAACCGCCTCCTCCCTCATCTCTGCTCACCAATAGCATCTGCCCTTGAGAAGGGGCAAGAGGCCTGCTCCGCCCAAGTTCCTAGACTCTGGCCAGCAGGGGATTGCTGCCACTAGGGCAGAAGCTGGTGACTCCCTCCCATCCAGAGCTCTTGCAGACACAATGTAGAACATGGCCCAGCCAAGGGATGGGAGTCATGGGAACTCAGCAGAGGCTCCACCCTGAAGCCCAGGATGATTGTCGCCTGCCTAAATCTGGGCCAGACTCAAAGGTGAGCCCCCAACCCAGCCCCCACCTCCAGCTGTGCAGGGAGACCAAGCTCCCTGCTGGGTGGAGAGGTGGTGCGGTAAGGCCCTTCTCTGGCACAGGTGCACAGCACTTGCTGACAGCGGAAAGGGCAGGACACAGAGAGCAAGTCATTGGTCCCTGGGGGAAATTGGTGGGGGTGATGGGCAGTCACCATAGCAACAGCTGACCTAGCTGCTCAAGAGGAGGGCCCAGCGCGGTATCCTAGCGGCTAAAGTCCTTGCCTTTCATGCACCGGGATCCCAAAAGGACACCAGTTCTAAACCCAGCGGGATCGCTTCCCATCCATCTCCCTGCTTGTGGCCTGGGAAAGCAGTCGAGGACAGCCCAGAGCCTTGGGACCCTGCACCCACATGGGAACCTGGAAGAGCACCAGGCTCCTGGCTTTGAATCAGTACAGGGCCGGCCACTAAGGTCACTTGGGGAGTGCATCAGCGAACACAACATCTTCCTCTCTATCTCTCCTCTCCATATGTATCTGATTTTGCAATAAATATATATTTAAAAAAAGTGGAAATACGCCCAGATTTAAAGAATTATTTACCTCAGCTTTGATATGCAAGCAAAAATGATTCCAAACACCAAAACGTGAGACTAGGACATGAGGACAATGATGGTGACTGTTAAGTCACTTTCAATAATTTTAGTCAGTGGGGTTTTACAGCACAGATCAAGGCAGCAAAAATCGTTTTGTGTGTGAATGCCTGAAGGAAAGAGAAGAGAAGCCCAGGACAGGAGGGAATACATAGGTGGCAGCAAAAACTGCAGTGTAAATGTGTCCAGCCCTTGTGCTCAAGAATTTTTCTCAAAACCTAAACAATTAGGCAAGTGTGTTATCAAAATGTATACTACAGTTTAAAACACACGTACTTTAGGGACCAGCGCAGTGACAAAGCAGATTAATCCTCTGCCTGCTGTGGCAGCAACCCAGAAGGACAAGTCCTGGCTGCTCCACTTCCGATCCGGCTCCTGTTACTGGTCTGCGAAAGCAGCAGAGGACGGCTAAAAGACTAGGGCCCCCTGTGTCCACTTGGGAGATCAGAAGAAGCTCCTGGCTCCCAACTTCACAATATATCTCTCCAGCTCTAGTCATTGCAATCATTCAGCGAGTGAGCCAGTGGATTGAAGACCTCGTCTCTGTCTTTCCCTCTCTCTCTCTAACTGAATTTCAAGTAAAATAAATAAATCTTTAAATAAGTAAATAAAATATGTGCATTTTCTCCAAGGCCAAACACCCACCACTGCCTCCGTGGTCTCTCTAGCAAGCAGTTGTACAGTTGCAGACCAGGTCATCAGTGCTGCCTGAACCCTGGAAATACCCACACACCTGACCCAGAGCACAAAGCAAACAGCACCCTGCTGAGACTGGTCTTCCGTGACTTCGAGGACAAGACGAATTGGGAAACTGGCAAACAGAATGCGACAGGGCACTGTGCTGACTCTCAAGGGCTCCTATGGCAACCATGCCCTCTCCCTGAAGAGCTGCTGAGATCTGAAAGGCCAGCTGAGCTCACATCTGCTATAGACAAACATGCTCCCAGTCTCCCAATCCACCCACTTCACATAAAGGGCTTGCCTTCATTTGTCAAGCTGATGGAAAGCTAAGGGCTTTCAATCCATGGTGAGGGCAACTCCCTGCAAATACTCTCAATGTGAGCTGAAGCAACTCCTTACTAGAACAAAACAAACCATCACACTAACAAGCCGGCATTCATTAGCACTCTTGGAGCAAACAGCTTTGAGTAGCCAAGAACAAAGCTGGAGAAATGCAAATTTAGTCAAGTCTCAGTTCCCGTGCACAGAGGAACTGGTCACGGAATGCCTAATGAGGTGCTATCACACTGCACCCAGGCAGGCAATGAGGACACATCCGTTGAGTGCCGCCACCTCATGTGCTCCGGAGCCTGGAGATCGCTGGGGTACATGTCTGGGACCCTCAGAGCACACACACCCACACAAGCATCTATGACTGTGGGTCAATCAAATAGGAAAGGCAGCATAAGATTTCTCTGCGCAATTACTCAGAAATCAGAAGGAAGAAGTAACAGAAATCAAATTCTCTCTTTCACTACAGATGAGGGTTTAAAACATTTGCCAACTGTTAACCGGGAGACTTGGTGCAACAGCAAAGTATCTGAGCTCTCGGCCCAGTAAGGGCTGCAACTTTCCTGAATGGTACAGGCAGCTCACCACAGCACACGCTACCCAGGATTTAAAAAAAAAAAAAAGGTCACTCAATCAATTTTGTCACGATCACCTGGAAGGGAATTTATGCAAACACTGAAACTCCTCCTCCCCTTGCCTCCTCCAGAGGTCCACATTGTGGCTTTCCTGGTTCCCGTGTGCACACTTTCTGGGGAGCACCTCAGCTTTCTGAACCCCAATGCACTGCCCACGCCACCAGCCAGCTCAGGGCCAGCTCTCTCTTCCCTGTAGCATCTTTCCCGTGCTATCCAACCCAAGACACTCCACATCTATAAATGGGTTCTGGTTTTATTTCTGCAACCGCTGCCAATAAGGTTCATTATGTGAGGAAACCCACCAACCAAGATCTTTCCAGCCCAGAACTCTGAGCTTCTCTGAAGAGTGGAGCAGAGAGGACTGACCCGGTAACGCCACAAGGGCTGCGTGTGTGCTATGTGTGTGCTGCGTGTGTGCGAGGCGGGACACTGCCCTCCTGGACACCTGCCCTCTCCTACCTCTTGTAGAAGTGGAAGCGCTCTGTGAGGAGCAGGAACTGCTTCTCGCCTTGCAGGAAGAAGTGTCTGGCCCTGGAGACGCCAGACTTCTGGGTGTACTCGCAGATGTGGGTGAAGTTCAGATCCTCCTTCTTGAAGTAATTTCGGAGACGCACGAAGTCAAAGTAGGAGGGCACGTAGATGAGTGTGTGGGACATGACAGCGTCGCGGTACTGAGGCAGAATCTTGTTCACAAAAAAGTTGAATCTGATTCCAAAGGGCAAAGGGCAAAGTTAACAGTCTTTTGGGAAGCTTACAGTATCCACTGACTTAGGAACCGCAGGGGAGTCACAACTCCAGGTTCAGAGAGTCCCTCGGAAGCCGCTAGGACTTGCCTACTCCCAGAGACGACACAAGGGTAAAACTTAACGGGCACATTTAAAGACAAGCGCTAACACTAACGTACTGCAATCAGAAGGTGTCCTGCCATTTTATCCCAGAGAACCGTTTCAGGAAGCACACAGCACACCATTCACGTGGCTGTCACATCAACACCTATCATTTACCAAGCACCATTCACATTAACATAAAGTGCTCCAGATAAACATGATGAGGAAAAGCGGAAAATATGTACAACAGTACAAAAATTAAGCGACTGACATGGGATACTTTGTGGTGCTAGGCAGCGTAATAGGATGCCACAGTCCAGGAAGAAAGAGCTTTGATTTATAGTAAACCTGTCACTCTCACAGCTCTGACACCCGGGCCACATCACAGTTTCTTTCTGGGAGTCATTGTTCTGTTAAATGCCAGGTCTGAGGTAAATGACAGAAACTCAAGATGGTCTTCAATAAAAGCAACTATTCACATGCCAAAGTCAAGCTGTCCCAAGGACAGAAGCAGTGGCTTACCTTGTATCAATCGCTGAGGCCAGGCTTTCCACTTCCATCTTCTGGAACACATGTGGAAGCTGAACCAGGACGTGACTGATGGAGCCTGTCATGGGGGCATTCCTGACCGTCACCTGCCAGTAGCCAAGGAAAGCATTAAGCGAGGAGCCAGCTCTGTGCTCTTCTTCAAACTATAAGCAGTGTTTCATGAAATCCAGATGAAAGAAACAAGAAAACAACCAACCTGGCCTTGGAAATTGACACAGTACTGGTTGAACACTGAGTTGATCTGGGCATCCTGCAGGCCCCCGAACAGCAGTGTCTGGCGGTAGTACTTGGCCCAGTTATGGAGACTCCACATTCGCACTCGAGAAAAGTCCACTCCATGGGAGTCCAAGGGTAGCAGGTTCATGTGCTTCATCAAATGCTTTAAGCAGAAATAGCACTCTCACTGGAGTTTACTCAGCATTTATCCACTGGGTAATAATAAGCATGTTACAACCCTATTACTTCCTTCAGTCCCTTGGAGCACAAATTATCATGTCCCAAATGATACAATGAATACTGAGGCGTGAGGATGACGGCCTGGGCCTCCGCTAGTTGCTAGTTGAACACCTCTAATGAGAAAACAAGCAAAAACCGCCCACAGCCTTGAACTTTTTAAAAAGGATCAAAATGATACCTATTAGAGTATTTCTTTAAAAGGAACTTCTGAAATTCCACGCTGGTCACGCTAGGGACCCCTGAATCCCAGAAATGGATAAGAAAGGAAATGATACTGGAATCCAAGCTGCTGTTCTCTGATGACTTGGTTCTCCAAACAGGAGCATTCTTAGTCACTACGCCTGCCTTTCCTTAAGCAACAGGACTCCACTGTCAATAAGCCTCTTCTATGTTACTTTCACTTTGCAATATATGAATATATCAGAATAATAATGGATACTAAAAACGTGTTCCCCACTTAAACTTTCTTCAAGCTACAGGTCCTCAGGTAGAAGAGGTGAGTTCTAGTATGTTTTAAAAACATAAACTGGGGCCAGCACTGTGGTGTTGCAGGTAAAGCCATCTGTAACACCAGCATCCCATATGAGCAGCAGTTTGAATTCCGGCTGCTAATGCCCCTGGGAAAGCAGCAGAAGATGACCCAAGGCCTTGGGGCCCTGCACTCATGTGGGAGACCCCAAGCTCCTAGCTCCTGCCTTTCGTGTGGCCCAATCCTGGCCATTCTGGTCACTGAGGCCTCTCCCTCCATCTCTGTACTCTGCCTTTCAAGTAAGTAAATTTTAAAAACAAAACATAACAAACATCAAGTCTATAAGGATATTTAAAAGTATGGCTTTCCAAACCTAAAACTGACCTCACTGTAGGGTATGTGCAGAAGAAAAAAAGAAAAAAAAAACATGGCACAGATAACAGTAACGGGATAAATAACCCACATTTCTGTGTGGGCTTTCCATGTTTGTGTACAACAAGCTCTGTGGGTTTTCTAAACAATGTTTTCCCAACTCCACTGAGGCCAAACAAAGGAGGACGATCATGAGGTATCATGTCCAAGGCGCTCCTGGTGAGGAGGATTTCTATTCAGTTGTCCATCTGTCCATACATCTAGCCATCTAATCCACCAACCAGAGTGAAGTGCACTAGCAATATTAGAAAAAACAGAGCTGTGAGAGTATCTTCTCTGGAGACCTAAACATGCCAATGAGCATCTTTGCCTCTCTAAACAATTTAATTATTGACTAATCTATGGGTACAAGAGGGTGCTGAACACTTCTTCAAGTTGGAAAATATGAAGGATCTCCCCGTTTTCAAACTTTTAATCTGGGCTTAAACGACCCTTTAAGACTCAAGCCAATGCACTTCTACCTCTTTAAGTACATAAATGTTCAGTGAACAGCATTACCAGGACATGCTCCCAATTCTGCATCAGATAAATGTCAGCTTGGTCAATGATGAGAAGCTCAATAGAAGACAGAAAGTCAAAATCTCTCTTCTTCTCTCCTTCTCCACCGATGATGGTCCTCAGGCCCAGAGGGGAGGCGATGAGGATGTCTGAGGAGTAAAAGGGGGCGTAGAGCCGGATGCTTCGCTGAAGTATTGCCACTCCTGCACAACACAAGCAGGCACCTGTCAGTTCATCAGTCACACCAAGCACTACCTCCTCCCTCACCTGCACCTCCACTTCTCTATGTTCCCCTTTGCACCAAGTGCACTCAAGTTGTTTTCGTTATTTAATAACGCTCCGTTCTTTCCATATGTGGTGCTTCCTTGGCTCTCACTTTCCCTGCCCTTCTTTTGCTGCCAAGCTTCTCCAGAGAATTGTCTCCACGTTCGAGTAGCCCATTGTCTCACGATTCTGTGGTCTCTGAAATGTCTGACTGCTAAGGTCTCAACTGCCCTCAGCTACCATGGTCAACCCCCAGGGCTCCTGCCCAGGAACAGTCAAGCAGCCTATTAAAACCTCCCTTCCCACTCCCCCCATGAAATGCTATTCTCCTTGTGATGGCTTCTATCACTGCAACACTCCCTTCTGCTTCTCTCACTCACCTAGCCCTCATCTTTCCAGAATCAAATGCTTGTTTCACATAATCCTGGATTCACCACAACTTTCATTCTATAAACAGCTTTCAGTAAATTTGTATTTCCAGCCCACATCACTAGTGCAATCTAATATTGATGGCACCTCTACCAGAACGCCTTCTTTGTCCACTTGGCCCACTCCAGCTTGGGGACTGACTTTTAAAGCTGCCCAGAATACCTGCTGCGTATTTGGCATGCCATGCTGTCCAAGGCAGAGCTCTCTCAATCATAGGAACCACACTTCTGAACTCTGCCTCTCCAGCACCAGACACTCTCCACCCCTCCCCCTCCCTCCAGGCAAACATGTCTCAGACGCACATGGATTCTGCTGGGAGGCTGAACAGTGGTCCATGGGGAGAGGACCTAATTCCAGGTTCCCAGCCTCCAGCTACACACAAGTCCATAGCACAAGTCCCGAAGGTGCCAGGTTCTGCCAAGAAGGAATTACCAATCCGGAAGTGGTCATCGATGTTGCCCACAAACACAGCTTCATAGTCTTCAGGTCTCTTCAGGTTGGGTGGCCTCTCCTCAGGATCGGATCCATACTCTCCCTGAAACCTCTTTTTGTTGCTCACAATGATCTTCTTCTTGCTGTCCCCCTCAAGGAGGCTGATGAAGAGCTGCACAATCCTCAAGGCAGCTTCCCGGAACGGCACCACGATCAGCACCTGCGAAGGGAGCAAGAGCAGCTCGGGGTGAGGCTGCTGAGGAAGCAGAGCTCAAAAGCCAGAGACCACACCTATGCCATCGCTTCACACAGGGCCTGGCCAGCATCATTCATCCTGGAATCTAGTCCCTCAGTTTTGTGGGAAAAATCTCCCAACCTGCATTCAGAAATGCTTAATATAAACCAATGCCTAAAACAGATGTCCCTGATAGCAAAAATTCAAGAATGCAAACACACAAACTTTGAGGGTAAGGAGCGTTACCTTGCTTCTGTCTCCCACAGAGCTCTGTAAAGTACTCTTATCCATGAGACCCAGCTAACTAAGCACACGCTCAGTAAGTGAATGGACCAAAGGAGAAACAAAACAGGCAAAAACAGGGAAAGAAAACGATTAGCCCATCCTTACATCTCCAGTACATTCCACGGAAAATTTTTCAGAAACAATAGTAAGGTATTTCAAAAATAAAACAATAATCCAAAAGGAGAAACAGGACTTGGTCTTCAAGTATTTCCAAACATGCTTACAATTACTGCTGAGAGCAAAAATGGAAGACACTTAATAAATGCTTCATTTCAACTACTGTTTTATAAATAACACAGTCAATGGACACAAGCCCAGTCCAACCATGTACCAAACTAAGCTATGCTTCATGGGTAATCTACTTAGTCCTCTATGGAATTTTATGTGGAAATAAACTTATGATCTTGAAGTTCAAACAACTCTGAGGCAATGAGCATGGTTGCTGGAGCAGTCACTCAGCCCACACAAACATAGAGAATGGACCAAGATTTAGAAGACACGTTTACTGGGGCTGGCACTATGGCATGGCAGGTTAAACTGCTGGCTGGGGCAGCAGCAACCCATACAGGCACCAGTTTGAGTTCCAACTACTCCACTTCTGATCCAGTTCCGAGCTGACTGCCTGGCCCACTACAAAGGCCCAGTCAAAAGGGCTCACAATTTTAGACAATTCTTAAAATGTGCAAGCACCTGCTAAGTGCCAAGGACCCCAAGCGCAGTACCTTTCAGCCCATTCTGGAGGAAGCAGCTTTCCTGCTGCCACTCACCTTGGGCCTTGTTAGACCTTGGTCCCTGAAGTCATCATCATCACCCACTCCAAACTTCAGGCTTCGGCGTCTACCATTGTTGCCAAGCACCTGGGCGTTGGCTTTGAGCACGTGATTCAGCACGTGCAGGCAGTACACGTGGCGGATCTCCTCCCCGTTCCTCAGGGCGGTCCGTTCGGGGTAGAACAGGTCGTGGTAAGAATTCATGATTGAGAAGAGCTCTTTCTGGAGGGGGGTGAAGCAGCTACTTGAGTTTTGGGGGCCAGATAGGAACTGGCTGTTAGTCTTGGCCCAGGTGGCTTCCAGAGGCTTCTGGAGATGCAGTGACTCTGTGTTAACATCCTTTGGCGGTTTAAACGTTTCCAACTTCTGAAATCTGGATGAGAAGACAAGCTGGCCCAGAATGGGCCACTAGGAGAGAAAGAGAGAGAGCAAGAGCTAAGTTATTAAAGAAAAAAAGTAACAAGACCTTATGCTCACACACTTTGCCAAGCACTTTCATGATTTACAGATACCTCACTTAATTTCCACGATCCTGCAAGAATATCAATATCATGAACAGCTCAGGAAAAGCCAAGCTGAATGATTCAGACAGGTGTCAGTTACGCAGGTGACTGGTCTACCGAGTTAACACATCAGCTTCCCGTGGAGCAGGACCCGGGTGGACCCCTAGCTCTGGCCGCTGAGTCCCATCAGCTCCCGCCTGGGCCCGGCTGCGCTGCAGGCGTCTGGAGTAGACCACTGCGACCGAGAGTATCTGTCTCTGCCTTTCAAAGAACAATCAAAGTGCTTTACACAAAGAGGGAATGAAGCTGAGGGCAAGGATCCATGACTTGGGACTTGGTGTGTAAGCTCTTCACTCTGTCAGTGGTTCCCACACAGTTCTGTAGAATACCTTCTGAGCAAAAACCCATTTCAGAGGAAAACAGCTCCACATTGAGAAACTCTGGGTTCACAGTTTATATTATGCACTAAGGTTCCAGCACATCCTAGGAGAACTCAATTCACTTCATTTAACCTAAAGTTTTCCAAAAGCACTTGAACATGGAAAGAGGTTTCTTTTAAGAATCCTAAAGAATATTTGGTAGAAAAATCAGTTTGGGAATTTTTGCACTACAAAAACTGCTGATTCAAAATAGCAAAAAGGATGATCTCAGAAACCAACTGATTGGCAAAACAGAATGAATAAATCTCCAGGGAACTATGATGCTGAAAAAAAAATGTCATTCTCAAAAGATTACCAGTAGGGGGGTGGGCGGGTGGGTGCAGCACGGTGGCCTAGCGGCTAAAGTCCTCGCCTTGAATGCACCGGGATCCCACATGGGCGCCAGTTCTAATCCCGGCAGCTCCGCTTCCCATCCAGCTTGCTGCTTGTGGCCTGGGAAGGCAGTCAAGGACGGCCCAAAGCCTTGGGCCCCAGCACCCATGTGGGAGACCTAAAAGAAATTCCTGGCTCCTGGCTTTGGAACAGCTCAGCACCAGCCACTGTGGTCACTTGGGGAGTGAATCATCGGATGGAAGATCTTCCTGTCTCTGTCTCTCCTCCTCTCTGTACATCTGACTTTCCAATAAAAATATAATAAATCTTTAAAAAAAAAAATTACAGGGCTTGTGCTATGGCATAACAGGTTAAACCCCATTCTGCAGCTCTTGCATTCCTTACAAGTGCTGGTTGTAGACCTGGCTATTCCACTTGCCATCCAGCTCCCTGTTAAGCCTCAGAAAGTAGTGGAAAATTACCCCCGTGCTTGGGCTCCTGCACCCATGGGGAGACCTGGAAGGCGTCCTAGACACCTGCCTTGGCCTGGGCCAGCACAGCTGCTGCAGTCACTCAGGGAGTAAACTAGTGGATGGAAGACTGATCCCTGTCTCTCTCACTCACTTTCTCTCCTCCTTTCTGTGTAACTCTTTTAAATAAATATATATATTTTTAAAAAATATATTATACACTGTAAAATTTCATTTGAAATGACAAAATTACAGAAATGGACACATTAGTGGCTTTGAAGAGTTAGCAGTGAGCTGTGGGAGCCGAGGAGTGGCTACATGTAGCCATAGAAGGGAATAGGAATATGCCTAACTGATGCTGGAAATGTCCCCATGTTGGCCAAGGACAGTGGCCACAGATACACAAGGCTACAGGTATGATAAAATCGCATCAGATTCTGAGTTCTGGCTTCCAGTTCGAGTCCTGCCAGGGCAGACCCCGGCAAGCAGCAGCTGACAGCTCAAGCAGTTGCTTCCCCGCTATCCATGTGGGAGACATGGATTATGTTCCCAGCCTCTGGTGTGGTCATGGGCCTGACCTGGCTACTAGGGGCCTTGGGGAGGGACCCTACAGATAGGAGCTGTTTCTCTGACATTTGAATATTTTAAAAATTGCAATTATGAGCACACACTCACAGTAGAGGAGCAAAATTGATGAAAAATATTAGGACAGGTATGTTTTTTAAAAGTTTTTATTTGAAAAGCAGAGTGACAGAAAGAGAATGAGCAGAGAAAGGGAACACAGATTGACTCCATAAACAGCAGCAACAGGTGGGGCAGGGACAGGCTGAAGCCAGAAGCCACAATTCTATTCAGGTCTCTTACACAGGCAGCAGTGGTCTACGTACTTGGGCCATCTTCTGCTGCCTTTCCAGGTACATTAGCTAGGAGCTGGACTGAAAGCCAAGGATCCAAGACTCAACACAGCATTCCAATATGAGCTGTAAGAAGAGCCTGATGTGCTGTGCCCCAAATCTTGCTCCAGGGAGATTTTATTAATGTCAATTTCCTGGTAGTAACATTTGATAATGACTGAGAAAGTCTCTGTATGAATTCTTACTACTCCATGAGTATCACTAATTATTATTACAACAAAAATTCCAATTAAAAAAGGATAATCAGGGCCCAGCGGTGTGGCCTAGCGGCTAAAGTCCTCGCCTTGAACGGGCTGGGATCCCACATGGGCGCCGGTTCTAATCCCAGCAGCCCTGTTTCCCATCCAGCTCCTGCTTGTGGCCTGGGAAAGCAGTCAAGGACGGCCCAAAGCCTTGGGACCCTGCACCCATGTGGGAGACCTGGAGGAACTTCCTGGCTCCGGATCGGCACAGCACCGGACGTTGCGGTCACTTGGGGAGTGAATCACTGAATGGAAGATCTTCCTCTCTGTCTCTCCTCCTCTCTGTATATCTGACTTTCCAATAAAAATAAATAAATCTTAAAAAAAGAAAGGATGATCAACCTTCATGAACAGTATCAGTTGTGAAAACAAAGAAATAAAAAAAACTACAATAGTTTAGCTGTGAGCAGTTTACAAAAACGGAAAACAATAAGTACTATTTCACTAAACACTAATGATGGACACAGAAAATACACATAAAGAAAAAATACATACGAATTGTAAACATCTTTTGCACCAAAATAAATTTTGATTGTTTTCCCTGAGCTTTTTGAAGTACACTACATTCCCTTAGTTGGAGGTGGCGTTAGTGTCTCCTCTGACAGGTGAAACCAGCTAAGAGCAGAGAGATGGGTAAAGTCGTCAGGCGACAGCACCTTGGGGACTGTTCTGGCTCCCACTGCATTATGTGACACCCACCCTCCAGGTTCCCAGTGCCCACCCGAGCGACACCAGCGTCCCACCAGGCATTCCCTGTGCCCACTTCTGACAGCCTATCTTTACCAGTGCACATCATGCACTCTGGGAACCAACAAAACCCAAGGACACTGTGGCTAGGATGATCATGTAATACTTACTTTTATCTCACGAGTAGTTTTGGGATTTGTGGCAATAGCCTGAATTTCCTTTTCTTTCAGTTCTTTATTCACGTGCTGCAGAAATGGATCTAATTCAGAAATAAAGATTGTCAGCCCATGGTGCAAAGGGCAGGGATATTGGCTCTTCCCCTGTGAACTACAAGCTGGTCTTCATGGTGCCAATTCACTCTTCCCATCTCCCTTCCCTGTTCTCTATCAAAGCCAAGAGCTTAGAAGCTTCAGAGAGGCTCATCTTCCTAGATCATTTCTCTAACCACATTTAATTTCCCTGCCCAAAAGCCTTTGACTAAACTTTTCAAATTGAGATTCAAATGGTTTTATAAATGTACCTCCAACCAGCCTCTCCATGAAAATTTCTGAATTGTATGGCCTTTAAATTCTGGTTCCTCTGTATGTGTCCTTCCTGAAATCACAAATCCCAACTTCTGCAGCTCAGTTTTGCATACTCAGTCTCAGTTCAATGTTACTCCTCGGACTCACAAGAAATATTTCCCAGGAAGAACTAGTATTGTAGCACAGCAAGTTACGCCACTGCCTGCAAAGCAGGCATCCCATATCAGAGCTTGTTTGTATCCTGGTTGCCCTGCTTCAAATCCAGCTCCCTGGTACTGCATTTGGGGAAGCAGCGGAAGAGAGCTGAAGTGTTTGGGCTTGTGTCACTCACACGTGAGCCCCAGAGAGAATTCCAGGCTCCTGGCTTCTGTCTGGTCCAAGCTTGGTCATTACGGACACTGAGGAGTGAACCAGCAGAAGGAAGACCCCTTTCTCCATCTCTCCCATTCAGTCACTCTGTCTTTCTTAAAAAAGAAAAAGAGTGTGTCCCAGGAGCCTGTTACGCCAGGCAGCGTGGGCCCCAACAAGAGGCCGTCACTGGTCCCCTGAAGTCAGTCACCATTCTGTTATCTCAAGCCTCTTACGCCACCTCACCCATCTCAACACATGAGAATACTTCAGAAAGTTTGAGACATCACTGTAGTGAAGCCACCACCTGTTCCATTTCCAATCCAGCTCCCTGCTAATGCACCTGGGAAGGCAGCAGAAGATGGCACACGGACTTGGGTCCCTGCACCCACGTGGGAGACCCAGAAAGCTCCAGATCCCTGACTTCAGTCACTGTGGCTATGTGCGGAGTGAACCACGAGATGGCAGATTACACTCCATCTCTCCCTTTCAAATAAATATAATAAATCTTAAACAAAACAAAGGTTACCTTATTTTGGTACAAAAATTGAAATCCATTCAGTTCTTCATAACATATTTTCCATGAACTTGTGCATGGATTTCAAAACTTGTGCACCAAAATAATAGTATCTTTAAAGTTACTTATTGGAGAGGCAAAGAGAAACAGACAGAAAAAGACCTTCCATTCACTGATTCGCTCCTCACACATCCACAGCAGCCAGCACTGAGCCTGGCCCAGCTGAGGCCATCACCTTAGACCCCAGCCTCAGGTGCACACCAGCAGGAAGGCAAAATTGGGAACAGAGCCAAAAACCAGAACCCTGGCATTCCAACGTGGGACATGGGTATCTTAACTAGTACGCCACATGCCTGCCCCCTTGATTTATTTTTTAATTCAATTTTCCACAGCACCTTCCTGTGGGCCTATCGTAACCTGTAGACAAGGTCCCTGATGGCTGTTCTCTTTCTGACTGATAACAGCAGGACACCAAAAATGCTCCACACACAGCACAGACTCAGAGCAGTTTCCAGAGTTCCAAGCCCGCTGCCTAGTCTCTCCCAGTCCCCTGTAAGAGACTGAACAGAGTCAAACGACCTTCTAAGGAACCTAAATGGTCAAACTTCAAATGAAATGCACCAAATAAGAGGTTCCTAGGATTAAACAATAGGACATAACAACTCAAGCTGCAAATGTATTTGCACAGGCAAAATAGTCAAAGAAACAGCAGACTTGGCAAGCTTCCGCATGTTTCCTCCAGTTTCTAGGTTTTTATGGCTCAGAACGAAGTCTATGCTAAAATTCTGTAATGTCACCAGCTGTTTCTCCCTGTCCTCCAGCCAGCGAAGATCACAACTTTGGGTTCACTGATGGCAAATCTGAGATGAAGAACGCTTTCAGCAGCCACGCAGGCAGCCAGCCTGGGATAACCTGACTTGCCCAGCCAGGCACAGGCTGAGAAACTGCTATGAATGGCACAGACCTGGCTAAGCCTGCCATGGGCACGCCATGACTGAGAGACCGCCATCTGGTTACCAGCACAGTCAAGACAGAGAGACCACGCAGGACAGGTGGCCTTCGAGGTGCTCCCTGGTAACAGATGCCATCAGGTTAGCTACTCCTGGGCTTCGCAAGGCTGCAAAACTACAGCAGCTCCAAACATAAACCAAAGGAAGGCTAGAGAACAAACTGGAGAGGATTCCTCCTCTTCGTTTTTCTGTCCTGCTTGAGGAAATCAGAAGTCTGCCTCAGATTCCCATTATAGAAATGGGAGGCCTGGGCCCGGCACGGGGGCATAGCAGCTACAGTCCTCACCTTGCACACACTGGGATCCCATATGGCTGCTGCTTCTAATCCCGGCAGCCCTGCTTCCCATCCAGCTCCCTGCCTTTGGCCTGGGAAAGCAGTCGAGGATGGGCCAAAGCCTTGGGACCCTGCACTCACATGGGAGACCCGCAAGAGCTCCAGGCTCCTGGCTTTGGATTGGCGCAACTCTGGCCATTGAGGTCACTTGGGGAATGAATCATTAGACAGAAGATCTTCCTCTCTGTCTCCCTCCTCTCTATGTATATCTGATTTTGCAACAAAAACAAATCTTTTTTTTTTTTTTTTTAAAGATTTATTTTTATTATTTTTTCATTGGAAAGGCGGATATACAGAGAGGAGAGACAGAGAGGAAGATCCTCCGTCCGATGATTCACTCCCCAAGTGAGCGCAACGGGCCGATACTATGCCGATCCGAAGCCAGGAGCCTCTTCCGGGTCTCCCGCGCGGGCGCAGGGTCCCAAAGCCTTGGGCCGTCCTCGACTGCCTTCCCGGGCCACGGGCAGGGAGCTGGAAGGGAAGCGGGGCTGCCGGGATTAGAACCGGCGCCCATATGGGATCCCGGGCGTGCAAGGTGAGGACCTTTTTAACCACTTGCGCCACCGCGCCGGGCCCACAAAAACAAATCTTAAAAAGAAAAAAAAAAAAAGAAAAAGGAAAAAAGAAATGGGAGGCCTGGGGAAGCAGCCATCCCCACCAAGAATTTGTTCTTGTTTCCAGAGGAAAAAAAACTTATTTACTTGAAAGGCAGAGCAACAGACAGGGAGAGACAGATCTTCCACCCACTAGTTCACTCCCCGGTGGCCCCAACAGCCAGCTGCTACAGTGCAAACTCCATGGTGGTTCTCTCTGTGAGCGGCAGGGGCCAGGTCTTCTGGCCATTTTCTGTTGCCTACACAAGCACATGAACAGGGACCCAGTCTGGAAGCTGGAGAGTTGGGACTCAAATTGGCAGTCCACTAAGGGAAGTGACAGCTCAGCCCGCTGTGCCACAACACTGGGCCCTCCTACTACCAATCTTAAGCTGTTTGTTCTAAACATCCCTCCTCTCCTGGCCTCCAACACGTATTTGTGAGAAGTATTTTTCCCCGAGCTCTGGATTCAGCCAGCTGCTAAACCTTCCGTTTTTACTGCTGCTTGTTCCAATGACAGAACATCTAACATCTACCCACCTGGCACCTGGCAAACTCAAACACCACACGCTGAGCTCTGACCTTGCGCTCCTTCCTGAGCAGAGTTCCCTCCGGTCCCATCTTCGAGGAAATTGGTCTCCAGGCTAAACAGTGACTCATGCTTCGCATCGGTGAACTCCTCCGGGGATTCCTGTGACGGGCCAGGTGCTCCTTCCCCACCTTTCTCCTTAGGGTCATCAGATAAGGCCACATCTGTAATTTTAAGAAAACATGTTATAAAATTCACTTGTAAATACACCTGTACTTCTCCGATAGCACTGAAATCCTTAGCCTGCATTAGCACTGAGAGTCACTGGGGTTCATCACTATTACCTCCTTTTAGATAATCATAAATCAAGTGGAAGATATTAAGTTCACTAATTTAGTGTAATGGTTGCTTTCACGTGTGAATCTGGTTGGGCTTCATGGCCCAGATATGCACAGAATATTATTCTGGATGTTTCTGTGACAGCGGTTTCAAATGGGAATTCCATTTAAATCAGCGGGCTTTAAGCAAAGAGTGGACTTCCCACTGTGTGAGTGGACCTCATGTAACCAGCTGAAGGCCAGACTGGAAGAGAAGGCCGATCCTCCCTCACCAAGTGGGGATGCTGGCAGCAGTCTGTCTTTGAACTTCAGTTGTAACCCAGACTCCTCGTGGACCCAAGATACAACTGTTGGGCTTCAAGTCTCCCAGCCTCTCTCCTTTGAGACTTGCTAAAATCACACCATAATCACACAGCCAGTCCCCTAAAATAGGCCTCTTTCTCTCAATACACACATTCTGTTACTCCGTCCTCCTGGAGATCTCTAGCACACTCAGCTGTTACCCTAAAACGGTAACCAGACAAAACACTCTAAGATGCACATGGTCCACGTGGCACTGACTGCTGAGAAATGACAGGAAAAAAGTGAGAGGCCTGAGGGGACTAATGAAACTTCCACATACCACTGACAACTGTGTAATCACGCAGCAGTGAATTCACATTCACAGACACAGTACAATCTATGGCACGCTATTAAAGACAACCAATAAATTAGATATTCGAACCATCATACACACCCCCCACCACACACACACACTTACACTCACACAACTGTATCCAGAAAAATGGGAGTCTGAAAGGCTGTACACAATGTTTGAGGTGTTTACCTAATGGAGCTTAAATTTTTGCAGAAAGTAAGTCATAATAAAATAAACATTTTCACTGTTAACAAACCAAGTGTGTCACAAAACAAAAATAAACCCTAAATCTGGGGCAATAAATTGTATCTCACTGAAATGGAGCCATAAGATACTCAGGTGAGTTCTTAACACCTTAGAGTACAAGCAAGAAAAACAGGATGCAAGGCAAAGACGTCAGAACTGTGAGATGCGCGGTCACCCAGATCCATTCAGACAATGGAGCACTACTACACAATAAAAAAGTGACAAGCTACTGGGACATCAACCACACAGACGGATCACAAAATCACATCCAAAAGAAGCCAGACACAAACGCATTTATATGGGTGGTCTCATTAACCTATAGTAACAATTAACTAACCTATAGCAACAAAGAGTAGAACAGGAGGAAACATGTCAGAAGTTAAGGAAATGTTTTGTGTCTGATTTTGGCAGTAGCATGGGTGAAGACAACTGTCAGACTCACCAAATTGTATACTCCAACTGACATACTGAATTGGATGTAAACAATACTGCAATGCACTTGATTTTAAAGTTAAATAAAAGTCACCCAGAAGTGAGAGTTTCCACTTTGAACTCCGCTTCTTCCAATTAGTTCCATAACTGACGCTGGCAGCTGGCGACCAATCCACAGCTCAACACACACCTGCACATCTACTATGCGTGTGCATACACAGCTGTTCATTGTAACTGTAGGTTTCTCTTCCATCAAACCCAGTCTCCCTAAGACCAGTGACTTCTATAAATGTAAAAACCTCATTTCTTCTCTATACCAGGAAGTCCTCCACTGGCACGGATGAAGTCCCTGAAACTGTACGTACAAACACCATTGCTGCAGTATTCCGGTGGGAGAGGGAGACTAGCGACGTCCACGGGCTGACTTGAGTTCACCCAGCCCACACAGCACGGGCCTGTGCGGCCATCTGACAGCCACCTGACAGCCACCCACAGACACTCACCCTCCTGCAGCCCTGTGGGCCCCGCGGCCATCTCCTCCACACTGGCATCACTATCAGCATCCTCACCGCCGCTCACTTCTGCATCATCCCCATCACTGTCTTCATCTTCTTCATCTTCCTCCTCCTCCTCCTCCTCTTCTTCCTCAGAAACATTCTTCAGTGTAGCAAGGAGCCTGTGGTACCCAGAGATGTGTTCAGGCTCCTCACTGCCCGCTTCGCTTTCAGAATCTGAGCTAGCGGAACTCTCGGACTGCAAGAGAAACAGGATGTCACAGACAAGCATGATGCTGCTGTGACCGCCACCCAGCGCTGTCACCAAACCAGCAGGTTCAGACTGCAGACACTGGGACTCTCATCTCTTCCCCCAAGCCCAGCACCAGAGTTAGACAAAACAGATCGTTTAGCCTTGAGTCTAGGAGCGCTTCATATTCCCTGAACTGCTCATACCCCAAGTGGAAACACACTGATTGTTAAAACATAAAATTTGAAGTAATAATGACATTTTAACTTAAATGAGACATTCGGCTACACGCTTGAAGGTACAAGCAAGGAATGAATCCAGCCTCCGTCACATGAACGGCCCTCCACGCAAACTGAAAAGCTTCCCCTCAGGACTCCTCATAGCCCTGGTAGCTGCTTTCACAGGGCCCAGGTCTCTCAGCACAGCTTCAAACAACCGTTTTTACATTAAAAAAATGCCACAACACATTTGGAAAACGGATTATCTAAACGTAAAGCTAGTCTATATTCCTGAGATGGCAGCTTACACCTGACATGCACTCGAGTTTTATTACTGTAAACAGCTTGGGCTCCTCAACTCAAAAATTCAAAATGCTCCAACATGTAAGACTTTTAAAAAAAAACAAGTTTAATTATCTGAGAAGGAGGGGAGGAAGAGAGCCAGAAAGTGAGGGACCTCGGCAAACGCCTGCCATGGCTGGCACTGGATCAGCCAGAGCCGGTGGCTGGGAGCGGAATTCCCACGTTCCCTTTGGGGACAGGTGCCCGTTGCTCCAGTAACCAACATCACACCAGGCAAACCTCAGCATGAACTGCAAGTGTACGCTTGCTTTCATTCTAGCAGAATGCATGCTGACCTGGTAGGGCTGTCTTCACACAGATGACTTATCGCATGGTATCCCCATCTAGGGCCTGTTCACAGCACCAGTTTATTTCGGTTCAAAAAACTTTTTTTTTCATTTAGGTACAACTTTTTTCATAAACACATTTCCAGTAGTTCTTTCAGAACTTTGAAAATCTAAAAAAAAAAAAAAAAAAACCTGAAATCTGCCATACCTCTGACCTCAAGCATTTCGGAGAATAGATCATCAACCCGTATCATCTTAAAAACAGTAATCCACGGCCAATTATTTTAAAGAAAGAACAACGCATTACCAGTTGACAAATCTGTGGTTTTTCTTCTCTTTTGGAAACCCTGAAAAGAACAGACAACGTTAAGTCACTGAGAGTCCGTCAGCGACAATTAGGAAAAGCACTCAGGACGCAAGTTTTTAAAAGGCAGACGCCGTCGGTTCAGTAAAAGGTACGCGGGCGCTGGCACAGGGCTGGCCAAAGCACACAGCGGCGTCCCCCATTAACTGCTTCTCACCCCCAAAGGACTCAGACAACACCAGACAGGGCGCGCCCCTCCGGACCTGTCGTAGAAGGGGTGCTCCTCGCCGAAGTCGCGGAGGTGCTTCTTCTGCTTCTTGCTCAGCGTGCTGAGCAGCTGGCTCTGGCCGCGGCGCCCGCGCTTGCCCATGGCCGGCACCCTGGGCACCCTGGCCGGCGCCCCGGCCGCCCTGTCTCCCCGGAAGCCGGCACCCAGGCCGCCCTGTCGCCCGGAAACCGGCACGTCAACACTCGCACGTGGGCGCTCCGCCGGCGCTTTACGGCAGAAGTGCAGTGCCGTCAAGCAGGTCGGCGTTACGTCGTCTCGTACGACAGGCGGGGGGCGTGTCGTCCCTGCCCAGCATCCCGGAAGTGACGCGCCCTTGGCGCGGTGGGCGCTGCGGACCCGTCCGGCTGTGGGCATCAGCCTACGCCAGCGGAGGTCAACTACGGTGACCGTTCTACTGTGAACAAAGTGCCAACCCTGCCCTCGGCCAGCCCACCGAGTGCGGATTTGTTCTGTCAGCAAGCCTGCGCTGGAGCTGCAGGAAAGGCCACTGGCCGGGACCCCGGAGTGGGAGCCGTCCCGGGGCCTGCCCGCTGCGTGGCCGGTGACCAGAGCGCGGCCTCCGCCGCTGCCCGCCCTCTCCCACCCCTGCCAGGTCTGAGGGCCGTGGAGGGGGACCCTGGCAGGCCTGAGAGTCTACCCTTGTCCCTCTGAGGTCAGCAGCAGAGGCACATCCAGAGTGCTAAAGTTGTGAGAGGCGTTAGACTGGGTAGTAGGCAGGTAGGGCATTCTGGGTCCCCACGTCATATAAAATATAAAAAAATATAAATGTCAAATATAAAAAAAGAGTATTTTCCCCACCACATCTTGGATTCACCAGAGCACGTCTCTCCTGAGACAAATTCATATCTCACCAGGAATGCTTCGTTAACATATCTATTCCCCTCCTGAAGCCTCAGCCCTATTCTGTCTCCAGCCAGTGCCAAGGGGGAGGGCTTCAGACTGGCCTCTTTATCATTAGAAAGGGACCAAGGAAGTTGGCCTGTGACACTTTTCTGGCCTTTTGTCCCAAGGATAGGTACCATGGAAACCAGGAATTTTCTTTGTTTATGGAGAAACATCTTTGAGATAAACCTTTAAAAGATGCTTTCTCCACCATTAATACGGTTTTTTTTTTTTGCTTGCCTTTCCTCCTGCCACTATGGCAGAGGATCCAATAAAAATAAACTAATCTTTTGGAAAAAAAGAAGAAGACAGCGAGCAAGCCACAGGGGAAATATTGAAAGTAGAACTGCGGGGCCCGGCGCGGTGGCGCAAGTGGTTAAAGGTCCTCGCCTTGCACCCCCGGGATCCCACATGGGCACCGGTTCTAATCCCAGCAGCCCCGCTTCCCTTCCAGCTCCCTGCCTGTGGCCCGGGAAAGCAGTCAAGGACAGCCCAAAGCTTTGGGACCCTGTACCCCCATGGGAGACCCGGAAGAGGCTCCTGGCTTTGGATCAGCATAGCATCGGCCCGTTGCGCTCACTTGGGGAGTGAATCATCGGACGGAAGATCTTCCTCTCTGTCTCTCCTCTCTGTATATCCGCCTTTCCAATGAAAAAATAATAAAAATAAATCTTTAAAAAAATAAATAAATAAAAAAAAGAAAGTAGAACTGCGGCCTGCTTCTGTGGGCACCTCTGTGGGGTACAGACTATGCTCCCCACTGTGCGCTATCGTGGACACCCTAGAACCAATTCCTGTCCATTCTAACACTACTCACTGATTTTTTAAATATTGATTCTTATCTGAAAGGCAGATTTTATAGAAAGGAGAGACAAAGATCTGCTGGTTCACTCCCCAAATGGCCACTACACCAACCCTCACCAACCTCTCCCGATTAGGCTCCAGGGCAGCTGGGTGGGGAAGGGAGGACAGGCTGACATAGGCAAACAGCACGGTTGTTGCTGAGTGGCTGGCCCAGCCAGGGGCCCATAAAACAGACATCTATCTTCAAGATTAAGAGTACAGTCCCTGGGGTCAATAAAAGGCTACTTGTGAAATGTTACCAGCTGGCGCAGAGCACAGTATATCCCGGCTATAATCATACAGACCCATGATTTTCTCCTCCCACCACAGCTCTACGGGCCCTGGCATCCCTCCCCAGTGGCCACCAGTGCCCTGGGTTCAGCTAGGCGTCTTCTGTGCCAAGCCACACTCTTGAGCACTTGTAACGCTGCCTCTGAGTTGCCACATCCCTGTGGGCCTGTGTGTGTGCAGACCCGTGGGGTTCTCAGGTCATGGAAGACGCTGGGTAGCCCTGTTCCAGCAGCCTCATCCCGGACTCCCTGAGCAACAGAAAATCGGCCCCCTTTCTTCTCCCAAAGATGTGGAGATTGAACTTGGAAGCCAGGTGGCTAAACATTTTTCCCACTCCCAGTGAACATTCTTTCAGAACAACCAACACGAAGGTGTGCATGCAGAGAACGGAGGTGCTGGACAAGTTGTAATAAAAATGTATTCGTTTCTTCTCTTTCTCCCCCGTTTCCTCTCCCTCCACCCCTCTGCCCCACCTTGTTCTCCTGCCTCTTCTGTTGTGAAAGAGCTATGAATTGGGGGAGAGAGACTCTCCCATGTGCTGGGTCACTGCTCTAATGGCCGCCATCCCCAGGCTGGGAGGGCTGGGCCAGGCAGAGATCTTTCTTTTCTTCTGCCCTCCCTCGGCCCTTCCTCCTCCACCCCGAAGGCAAGAATTTCTTTTACCTTACCTCAAGGACACTTGTATTTTCAGAGTTAAGGGTGATCCAGGAGTGATCTATATTAGTTTACTAAGAAATACTAATAAGCCTGTAAGTTACTCTTCTCAGGGCATTTGCAGTTTCTGCAGACGCCTGGCTGCTGATCTCACAGGGGGAGAGGGATGGCCGTCCCTTAGGACAGGAATAGCTAAGGGCATTCGGGATTCTGTTCATAATGTTAAAGAAAAAATGTCTCTATGGAACGTTGCGTGTAGAATACAGAAAAGCACACACACACCAAAAATAATTGGTGTCATGAAGTGCCACCTGCTGATTACTCAGCTTCAGCAGTCACCAGCTCAAGGGCACCTTGTTCTCGTGTCATCCGCCCGCAGTCCCTGACCCACTCTGAATTAGGTTGAGCAGGGTACCTAGGACTCAGGCTGGCCCTTTGATGTGGATCTGGCCTAACCTTTAAGCCACCTGGCCTGTCCCCCAATGTTTTGTTTTTTATTTTTAGCATCATTATAAACTCACACAGTTATGCAAAAGGATGTTTTCATGCTTGCAGATTTTGGAATGCGAATCCTTTGAAAGCTAATACGAAAGACCACTAGGCAAGAATGTGCCTGCACGCTGACACGGAAACACACAGCTCACACACATGCCTTCCTCACAGTCAGGGAGGGCGAGCGGGGGTCCTCCGGTGACTGTCACAGCTGGGAGGGGCACAGCTGAAGGGTGTGTTTTAGATACTAAGGATTGAGATGTGGAATTTGTGTAATATCAAAAGCATGTGATTCCCAGAGGAATGAAGAGAGAGTCATGTGCCAACTAAGTTATGACTCTGCTGGGGGAGAGTTGAGACACTTCATCTCTGGCTTGGAAGGAGTTTGGAAGAAAGGCGTGTGTGTGTGTGTGTGTGTGTGTGTGTTCTCCAAGGTCTTAAATCAGGCTCCCACATCCTAGACCAGCTTTCCCCAAACACGTAACAACATGCATCTCACTAAGAATGCTCTCACTACGCTTGTAGAATAATGAGATCAGCCTATTCATTCAAAACATTTTACTGTGCACTTAGTATATGCCAGATGCTATACCAATTGGGTTTCATCTGGGCATAGATAATAACCATACAATTACAATCCTTCTGGCAAATGCCAGGCTGGTCGATGACAGCAAAGGCATTAAACTGAAGGAATCGGCTTTCAGGCTTAGCATTTGTCCATCGCATTCATTAAAAAAAAAAAAAAAAAAACTTGTTGGGCCCAACGCAGTAGCCTAGTGGCTAAAGTTCTTACCTTACATGCACTGAGATCCCAGATGGGCGCCGGTTCCTGTCCCAGCAGCCCCACTTCCCACTTCCCATCCAGCTCCATGTCTGCGGCCTGGGAAAGCAGTTGAGGATGGCCCAAAGCCTTGCGACCCTGCACCTATGTGGAAGGCCTGGAAAAGAAGCTCCAGGCTCCTAGCTTTGGATTTGCGCAGCTCTGGCTATTGTGGCTGCTTGGGGAATGAATCAACAGATGAAAATCTTCCTCTCTGTGTGTCTGACTTTCACACACACTTACATGAACACTCACACACTTTTTAAAAAAAGAGTTATTTTTATTGGAAAGGCAGATTTGCATAGAGGAGAGACGAAGAGAATGATCTTCCATCAGCTGGTTCCTGCCCCCAATAGTGACAACAGCTGGAGCTGAGCTGATCCGAAGCCAGGAGCTTCTTCCAGGTCTGTTACATGGGTACATGGTCCTGAGGTTTTAAGCCATTCTTTACTGCTGCCCCATATGACACGTAGGGAGCTGTGCCCATATGCGATCCTGGTGCTTGCAGTGGGGGGATTAGCCATTGAGCCATCACAGCAGAGCCCGTCACATTCCTTGAACACCAGTACTGAACGCAGGGTTTACATTCTCAATCTGAAGCTTTGCACATTGTCTGCCTACTTCCTGAAGCACACACACTGGGGTGGGGGTTCAGGATTTGAGGGTTGTACAGACAGCAGGAAGTTAGGAAGCTGCACACTTGCCAGATTCCATGGCATTTATTGGGTATGGAGCAATAGGTTTCTAGGTGGAGTAGATTTTACAAAATGAGATTATGTCTAAGAATTTAAAAAGAGCTTTGCGGTTCAGTCTGTGCAGTGTAGAGATGTAACATACTGCCACATAGAAATGTAAAATAGCCCTACCCTCCTGCTGACCTGCTCTTACTCGAGGACCTGTTAGTAAACTATCCTGAATACAGTGACCTTTAATGAACAAGTGCCCTTAGGATTTTCAGGACTTGGTTTACCTTGTTAGGGTCCAAAATCGCCCCTCTGTTGCATAGCAAAGAACCAGACGTGGATGCAATCAGCAAGCAGAGTTTATTGAGCTGGCTAGCCAGGGTCAAGCTCCTCACATGGACACGCAGGACCGGTGGATGAAGCAAGACCCCGAGCTAGGGA